TCTACGCTCCATGAAAGGAATGTATGACAATCTCATCCAGGTTAGTCAAGTGTAACTGAGTCCTGTGAGATTACCAGGTGGTTTATATGAAACTTATTACTAGTGTCAAGCTTAAGTAGATGAATTCACATCATTAAAGCAATGTACATGTGGGCGTCTAAGGGCTCCGAGCTCAATTCGCTGACATCCGCAACACTAGGGAGGACCGGTAAACCCTTATATGGAGTTACTTGTTAAAGCCCGAATTGTTGAGCGACCCTATTTGTTTAAGGACACTGATTGTTTGTAACGTTAGCATAACCATCCTAGTCGCATGCTAATGAAATATTTAACAACCTACAAAGATTGTCATTTAAAAAGTAAAATATATCTGCCGCGACGATTGGTGCAGTTTATAATGTCAGCTCCCATCAAACTTCTTGGCAAACTGGCAACCTCAAATACACTAAAAAGCATACACATCATTTAAAATGAAATTTAAATAATTTGTATATGCTTTGATGAATATTTTAATCTAGTAAATCCTTGGTATGAGAATACTGTGCATGTTAAAATGCAAAAAAAAAAAAAAATTATGAAATTTTGAGCTTCACCCTCCTTAAAAAGAGTAGTTGATAAGGCCTGTGATAAATGATTTATACGAGCCGTTGCTCGGGTCCAATCATTTGGTGATAAGTGGACAAAGTTGTAGGTCAATCTCGATGATGGCCATATTGAATATAAATATCAAATGGGGGGATTCTATCTTTTAAATGCTTCTAAACTTTGATTAAATATCAATATATTTAAAGTAGTTTTAACATCATTCAGATGATGACCGTGTTGAATATAAATATCAACTAAAGGGCATTGTACTTTTTAAATGCCCCAAAACTCCGATAAAGTACAAATATATTTAAGGTGACTTTAACTCACCTTTATGATGATCATGCTAAATGTAAATCTCAATTGTGGGGATTGTTTAACTTACGAAAATACCCCCAAATCCTAAAGTTACCCATTACGGGCGCTCATTTTGATAAAAATTACAAATTTAATACCCACCAAAATTTAAATATTTAAAATAAAATAAAATCACCAAAAGTCTTAGAAAAAAAATTCACCCATCATCCGCCGTTGTTTGTCAAGGAGGATGAATTTTAGAATAACTTCAGCTCACAAAGATCGAATGCCCAATTGAAAATATCTCTAAAATTTATTCTCAAATAAATTTTTTCCAATAAAGACATAACAAATATTAACATTGGCATTGCCAGATCCCAAGTCGTGGATGAAAAAAGTGGAGGGTTGCGTTAAGTAGTCAATAACCAGCGTAAAACTTGTTGAATAATCATGACATGAATCCTTTAATACATTTTTTTAATGCTAATGCATTT